AGAGGTGAAACGTCTTCAAGTAACTTAAAGAAGTCCAGACGCTTTTCTTTGCAAGCTCCTTTGACTACGATGACCTGGATGACTGAGAACCTTCACAGACTTACATTGAAGTGTTTTATCCAGGATTAAGAGTTCATTGTATTACAGAAACTGCATTAGATTACTAATGATCTTATGGCCCCAGCCTATAACCTATCATACTTTTTGATAGCCCTATAGAAGTTAGGCCTATGGAAAAACAAACAAACATGGAGGTGACTGTTTTTGTGAATCTGTGCTGTATAAGTAACGGATTTTTAATTTAGTAAAACTACATCATGATGCTGTGATCTTTAACTCTAATAGGTAATAAGTTGCTGACAGAAGTGTAGTTAGTAATTATGTCACTGAGCCTAACAATCCTGTTGTGTCACCTCAGCATTTAAAAATGTTATCAAGATTAGACCAAGACTCCATCATAGTCTTCTACTCTATTTCTTGCTTAACATTTTTGTGTTTTCTTCAAAATCTGCCTTTTAGAAAATTCAAATAAGCTGCCCTATATACATTTCTATTTCTAAAGAGTGAATGCATTTCTTTTGAGGTAGGGCCCTTTTCAGTTTCTGATGTAATGTTGCTTTTTTTGCCCTCTGTTGACAGGTACTTCCCGTTTGTAACCTACTGAGTTGGTGTAACCTGGAATACAGCATATTGACCAGTCCCCATGAAAGATGACTCGTATTTAAAATGGCACAAGTCGCAGCTTTGCTTACTTACCTCAAGTCAATGACGCGTATTCAGACATTCAGTGTTATGGTTCTTTTATTCTCTTTAATTTTAATCGTTTTCTACATGACTGTTCAGGTGGAGACCACCCACAGTTTACGGAGTGTAAGAACACAATTTCCCCAACAGAAGGTCATTACCAGACATGTTCATTTACACAATGTATCAGTTTCAGCTGGCTTCAGACAGACCATCCCTGGAAGCAGAGCTTACTGGAACCGTTTACTGTACTCAACCCTGAATAATCTGGACAAGGGAGGAAACCCATTCAATCGAAACTCTAACTGGTCTAACTGCAGGCTGACAAATCAAGAGTTTCTGCAAACCAACGTGCATGACTTCAGCTCCTACCCTGTCCGATTTCGGGATTTTCTGGAGGGGATGAACTGCAGGACTGCCCCAATTCTGATTGATCAACCCAACAAATGTGCTTTCAGTAAAAGGAAGACAGAGAGCCACACCTTGTTGCTTTTTGCCATCAAGTCATCTCCCAGAAACTTTGAGCAGAGGCAGGCAGTGCGAGAGACGTGGGGCCGAGAGATGACGTATCCAAATGGACTCAAAGTGCGTATGGTGTTCCTTCTGGGGAGCTCCCCACCACAAGATCCTGACCTGACCCCACTGCTGTCATTTGAAGCAAAACTCTATGGGGATATCCTGCAGTGGGACTTCCATGAAACATTTCTAAACCTGACGCTCAAAATGAACATGTTGCTCGACTGGACATTGAAAAGCTGTCCTCATGTCTCCTTTGTCTTTAGTGGGGATGATGATGTATTTGTCAACACCCCAGCACTGGTCACGTTCATCGAGTCTCTCGAGGCTTCTAAAGTATCTAGTTTGTATGCTGGTCATGTTATAAGTGTTGGAAGTCCCGTCAGGGACTCAAATAGCAAATACTACATCCCCATGAGCTTCTACGATGGCCCATACCCTCCTTATGCTGGTGGAGGTGGCTATCTTATCTCTGGAGCTTTGCTAGAATCCCTCTATTCACTTTTACACATCATTCCTTTCTTCCCCATTGATGATGTCTACGTTGGGATGTGTTTCATGGCTTTAGGGATTTCTCCTGAGGCACACTCAGGATTTCAGACATTTGATATCAGAGCAGAAGATCGTGAGGATCTCTGTACATATAAAAACCTTATTCTGGTTCACCAGAGGTCCCCACAGGAGATAAAAAAGTTGTGGAAGGGGATTAACAGCCCCCTGTTGGCTTGTTGAACTGGACTGGTTATGAAGATGGCAAATAGTGACTGCACTTGCATATTAAAGACTTGTTTCTCCACTAATGTACTATTCATGGTTTTGCAGAGTTGATTTTCTATAGAACATCCTGCCAGCAAAAAAAAAAATGTATTGTGAGCAAAATTAAGTTGCCGTAAAGCAGCTTGATTTTGTTACCAGACTGCGTGTCATCATGGAAAGACATTTGATTGCCCATTCAGGCATTAAATCATATGCAGGTGAAACAAACCTGCCATACAACTGAAATGAAATAAAAACAAAACAAGAATGTTCCTCAGTTTATTTTCCACAAAACACCAATCACGAGCTAGGTAAGTGTACAGTTCTGGGATTTAGAACAGTGTGTAACATCACCACAGCATACCATCCCATCTAAAATTTGAGTGTGTATACTAAGAAGCATTTTAATAGTTCTTTGACATACGTTAAAGCGGTCACTTCAGTGATACACAATAAAACCTGTTAGACGTCACTGAATGGGAGAGTAAGAAGAGAAGAAGCACAAAGTCAAATTCTGTGTTTATATTGTGAGTAATGCATTCACACTGCAGCAGGTGATTCTACTGTACTTGCAGAACATTACAGAACCTGGAATTAATGTGAAATAAAGGTGTGAATTTAAATTTGAGAAGCTTTACTACCGATAGTAAATCTTATTAACTTAAGGCACCAATCCCAGAGACATGAAGAGCTTGGAGTTTTGTTTTGCAAGCACAATCTTTCTCCCCACTGTCATGCAGAAAGAAATGACAAGTATCAAAACTACCTTTTATGAATACAGCGAAAACTGTGCAACAGTCTATTTATCAACCAAATTTCAATTTGTTTTGCCCCGTAGCAAAAAAGTTATTTTTCATACAAGTCTAGTGGGTAGTGCTCTTTGTACTGCTGCACATGTCTCCACAGGGACTCTCTCTGCTTGTTCAGGCTGGGTATCATCTCCTGGTACACATCGGTGAACAACAGTTCAGGATTGGGTTTGAGCCGCCTTTCAGCCCTCTCAAACGCCTCCATCACCGTCTTGCGTGATTGTTTTCGCCAGCTCCTCTCGTCATCTTCGCTCCACCATCCGCGGGCTGTCATGTAATGTCTCAGCCTGGAAATGGGATGGTCCTGTTTGTCCCAATAGTTCACTTCGTCCACCGAACGGTACGCCGAGCTGTCATCGCTGGTGCTGTGGTGGCCAATTCTGAAGAATCAACAAAATACATTTTTCTTAAAATGACTTTTCATACTTTCGCTGTTTCAGGATGAGTACATCTGTGGTGTACAGCACTCTTCAATTACAACCCAAAAATGTACTTTTAAAATTCTACACCAAATCACAACAATTTTCATTATAGCAACATAAAATATTAAGCGTTTCTAGCTATAAACCTTTAATAATATTTAGGTGATCAAATATATTTTCACTTTACTGCCAATATCTAATGAGCCTTTTATGGCTTAGGGGTAAAACCCTTGCATTCTGGTAAAGGTGCATATAGATAATCTTAAAACAACAGCGAAATTAAAAAATGATCACAGCTAAAGAAAGCCACCTGGCTTTTGTAAAGTCCATATTTACTCGATGAACTGCACAGTTCAGAGTCTTCATTAGCAGCTGGCTTTCGTTTACACAAAGAAAATTGACTATTTTAACTACATAATCACATTTTTGTTAGATTCTGGCTTCAAACTTCTGACTCGGCTGTCAGTCTACAAGGTTAAAGTTGGCTTTGTAGTCCAGCAGAGGTTCGCTGCCTGCTCCAGCTATATTAGATGAAGGTAGTGTACAAACTGGTCTGTTAAGTATGTCTGTGGGCCACTCTGGCTCGTGCTATTATTGGTCTGTCCGCCAAAAGTGAGTGGCAGCTCTCTGAACAAAACATCTTGTTGATTCCCGGGGTATGACGAGAATGGCCAGAGCACATGAACCTGTTCAAACTTTGAAGTAGATGAGCTTCAGCACCAAAGACTACACCAAAGACTGACTTCCTGTCAGCCAAGAACAGGAAACCGTTTATTTTCCAGATGGGAGTATCAGAATTCGAGATGAACATGAAAACCTCCATCCATCCTGCTTTATATGAACGTTTCAGGCTGGTGGTGGTGTTTTCGTGCTGTGGGGGAAATTTTCACTTAGTATTAACTGAGGATTGAATATTATTGCTGACCAAGCTCCTTTATGACTGCTTCCAGCAGGATAATGTGTTATGTCGCAAACAGTGTTGGTCAAGTTACTTGAAAAAAGTAATCAGTAACTAATTACTGCTTACTTCCCCAAAAAAGTAATCCAGTCACTTTACTGATTACTTATTTTCAAAAGTAATTAATTACTTAGTTACTTTTTAAAAAACACGATTTACAACCTTTTTCGCTGTAAAAAGAAGTTTTCTTCCCACGCACAACTGACACTAATGTTTTTGTCACTTTTTATGGAATCAAACTCAAAGTAAGGTCAGTACTTCCACGCTTTA